CACTAGGGCTGGACATGGTCCGGTTCGATTCAGTTCGGTTCTAACAAGAACCGAGCCGACCCGAAATTTTTGGGTATTTAGTAAGTGGAACCATCGAGTCCAAATTTATTTACGGAACCGTTCGGGTTCGGTTCCATTCGGTTCGTTTCGGTCCGGTTCGGTTCCGTATTATAATTAAATTTTTTAATATATACAAAGTTACGTTAATTTAATTAATGATATGTTCAATATTAACTCTTACAAAATAACGTAGTTCAATCTTATGTGTTTCACGTCTCTCTTTATTGAATTATTCATAAATTTGATTATTAAAATCACAGAAAGAGAAAGATAGCGAGCTCAAAATAATTAAGAGAGATGTTGTGGAGTTTTAATTCGATTTTCTCTAGTAGAAACGACACTACGGTACAATAACAGATTTGGATAAAATTGAGGTCAATTCGATTAAATTGATTTTGAACTGAAAATTAGAAATAGGAAAATCATATTTTGTGATTTGAACTAAATTAACTAGTTAACAAATTTATTTAGAAAAATAAAATAAATTTACTTATTTAAAATAAATTAATTAAAAAAATTACGGAAATTCGGTTCTTATTTGGTTCTTCGAGTCTTGACCTAGAATCGAGAATCAAACCATATCCGTCGGTTCTTGATTCAAATACTCATTCGGGTATTTAATTTGAGAAGAACCGTCGGGTTCGGTTCCGTTCGGTTCGGGTTCGGTTCGGGAGTTTTGTCCAGCCCTAACCACCACATGGGACCAACCAAGCTGTTCATTTGGAAGATTTTGAATAGCCAACCTTCCCTGAAGTTGATGCAAAGCTGATCCAATTTTTGCCATCAATAATGAGCACTTCTAAAAATTAGTTAGTTACCCAACTATCATATCATTACTAAGTGATCTTAGACGGTGTAAATAATCCACATAATGTCAGAAGCAAGTAGGAAATTGGCCACCAAGGTTTCATGCCTTCACCTCTCCTTCCATTTTAATGCCTTCACCTCTCCTTCCATTTTAATTTCACCTCTCCCAAAATCCCATACTAGTACATTCGTATTTTCAAGATTTCAATTTGTGGTAAGCAATATCAATAATTCAATAGTAGGCTGCTGACAAGATTGTCAAAATGATTACCTATGCACAGCTAGTTTAAGCAGGAAATACTTTATCTTAGCGAACATTTTTACATGCCCATTCAGGTGGGTTAGGTCCCATGCCCATTCGGGTAGGTAGGTCCTATGGAGTTGAAAGAATCTATATAGAGGTTATCAGTGCATCACAAAGTGCCAACTCTATGATGATTTTAAATAATTAATTATCACATTATGTGGATGAGAATAATGGGCAAAAGAAATCAGTACAGTCAAGCTCTCTGCTCCAGTTCGAGCTTGTAGAATATGTGATTGGTTAATGGGGAGCTTAATGCTGATTGGTCATCTTGTTAGTTCACCAACTCGAAAGTTCCATTTGTTTGACAAATTTGAAAGTTTATTGATTTGTATCAATTATATATATCTTAGCAGAAGACTTGTCTATGAAGAATTAGTGTTCGGCCTGCACAGTAGACTGTGTATCCAACTACTACACTACATGATAATTCAGTCATATGCGGTAAATTTTCTTACACAGAGAAGTAATGTTAGAATATTGAATAAACTATTAAATCAATTTAAAGCCTTTTTATGTGGAGTAAGGGGAAGTTGTAGAAACAAAATCAAACCTGCAAACAAGAAGAATGGTTCAAGAAGATATCTAGAGTTTGTGCAAAGACATAGCTAGTACAAATTTTCCATGGAAATGTTACCGCTGATTTTGTAAAAACTTACCAACTTTACCAGAAAAATCAACTAAGATTGGTCATTGCACAGGTATTGTTATCCTCCACATCGTTAATTTTCTACTTTCCAAGGAAATCATGTACAAGAACTAATATCTTGAATATTCTCATTGTGTGAGGATTAAAAACATATTATGCAAAAACAATTATTACTCTCCGCAGAACTGTACGTTAATATATTTACTTCTTAAATGCATAAATTATCTGTACCTTCAGTCATGCACTGTAAACATGAAGAGAAAGTCACTTAAGAAGTAAATTATATCATACAATGACAGGCTGACAGCAAACAATTAGCTCCAAGATTAACTTTTTTTCAAATAAAGTGAATTGACATGCAATTCGACATCATACATTTACATACACAGACTAACTACAAGAAACAAAAATTGTCAAGATTTATTGAAATTCCAGAAAAATAAATAAAATCTTGCCCTTCCCCTCCCACGGAAAAGACAACAAATTATACTAATTAAAATTACACGAAACCAAATATACTTAAAGAAACATAGAAAATCAACTTAATTCGAAGAATTCGAACCTAATGAAGAAATTCTCCACCTCACTTTTTGTTGGACTAAATGTACCGGATAGAATGGTTGGAAATGAATACCGGACAAACACATACTGCATATACAATTTAGATATCGGATTTACGTATACTGTATATGCAACATATCGTATTTACGCATACCGTATATGCAGCTTACCGTACTTGCAACAGCTTACCGTATATACAATAACTTACCGTATATGCAACAGCTCACCGTATTTGCATATACCGGTCTTGCATATACCGTATATGCAGTGAACTTGGCAAAATATAGCAGATTAAAATGCAATAAAATGAACAAATTAATCTAATTGGCCAAATAAAGCAGATTAATTTTTAATAAACAGAACAAGTAAACTATTAGCCAAAAATAAGAAAATTTTAACCGAGACCTATGTGAACACCGTTTTCTTAAAACAAATTTGCCTCCTCACCATAGGTGCTTGAGGATTAAATTGGTCGTCTGTTTTCCAGAATACAACGGACGAACAGTAGGATTTGAGCACTTCAAATACTACTCCTACTCTGTCGAACTGAATTTATGTCTGAACAATATCACCGATTGTGTAACTATGCACTATGCAAACCAAAAATACACAGAAATTCTGTTCTATGACTATGTGCAGGATTGTATGTTTTCTTCTTGTATAGAATTGTTAGAAATCGGGTTACTTATATATGCTCAACACCATGAATGCCATTAAGTCGTATATAATGGTTATGAATTTTAGAGTTTTAGCAGTTCCGAAATTCAAACGGTCAGTTGGAGGAAAAAATTTAGCAAAACGTAGGCTCTTCTAAGGTGCCAATTTCCTCGTTCAAAGCTTATTTTGGTTCGATTTGGCCCCTCTGCATGCACACGTAGAGAGACCGTTTATACTGCACATGATCGTACCATTCCAAAGTGCAATCCTATTTAAGGTAGTATTTGTTTTCATAATTTTCCTACATGGGGCAAACCTTAAATGGTTTCTCTCCAACAACATAAACTCATTTCAATTGGCACACTTTGAGCTCCAATTTTTCATTCATTCGAACATTATTTTTGGCAAGTAAATACATGATTTCGATGTTCTTAAGGAGGAGGAGACAAATCAATCTTGAACTTCCAAAATAACCAACCGGGTTCCACTCAAATTTTGTGCCAAAAGCAGCCACTCAACCCATTTTNATTGAATCAATATAATAGAAAATTTGTTGGTGCAATTTCAAAGAAAATTTGTTGAAATGACCATTAAAACTAACATATGCATAAATGGTAATCAATGTGACTTAGTTAATTTCACCCAACTGTAATTCAATCATTGAATTTCAATTTTTGACAATTGAATCATTTAACATTAATTAACAACATTCGAATCACTATTTGAAAACATCAAACAATGTAACACATTTAATGATGTTTCACTTGAACTTGACAAAATTTTAATGACTTCATCCTAGTCATCAAATTTTAGGTATGTCAACTATATTTCGAACATCAACTTATGAAAACTTTTGAATGATTTTCATTTTTTTTTTCCAGAAAAAAATAGAGAGGAATAAGGAGAGTTTGTCACAAAGTCAATAGGTTGAAAGAAAAGGAAATTACACCACAAATATGAATTTAAATTGAGATTACAACTTACTTTTAGATGTTTTATATCCCAAATATATTACTTTCATGTCCCAATTACTATTTTCAAATTCTCATCCAAAAATTCTAGCTATTGTTCGTTGCCTTTGCCCACCACCATCATGACGATCTAATGGTAGAGATTTCATCACGATCTTCACCGCTATGAGATCTCCACCAATAATGTTCAAAATCACAATCGCACCATAAATTTGTAGTAGTTCAGTTAAGTTTCAAACAATTCTAAAATTTCCGTCTCAAGTAAATTATTTTAGGGTTTGGTGATTTCTTTTTGGTTTTGGTGATGGGGAGGATAGGTGGTGATGGAGATGGTGATTCAATGATAAATAAGGTTAAAGTTTGGTGATTTCACTTGTTTCTTTGTAGAGAGGTTGCTGCCAGAAATTTGATCATTGTGGTGGTGTTATCAATGGAATGGGCTAGGTTCTGGATGTGATGGTTTATAGTGGATATGGAGGGTGGTGACCGCATAGAGGCTTGTCTTCAACCGTAATAGTCGTCAATGAGATAGGCTAGGATTTTTGCAGGTGGTAGTGGTGATGGTAACAAGTGGTGCAAATTGTGGCGGAAGTAGTCTTGGTGGTGGGAGGCTGTTGTCGATGTTGATGGTGGCGACGTAGGTGGTGTAACATAATATATTACAAATATTACACTGTTTAATTGCATTGATGGTGAGTTCAAGGTGGCAGTGTCAGGCATAACACAATATGTTACTAGTCTTACTCGCATGAAAGTGATACCGGTGGCAACGTAATACAACTTGTTGCAAGTATTACTTTAATATAATCTCGGTGATGGTGGCGAGTAACATCATTTGGTATTCGTGTTACACAATGTGTAATACTTTTGTTACCAAAATAGTGAAAAGTGGTGTAAAAAAATGAAAAAGGGTATTTTTATTGAAGATAGGTAGGATAATATTTTGAAAACTAGTTTGGATTTTGGGGAAGTTTCAAAAATAACTTGAAAGAACAAAATATTTTTCAAAATATTGTCTATCTGTCCTTACATGAGTTACAAATATTTTTCTAAACAAGGTCAAACTTTTTTACATGTGTTGCATTTTTTCAACACGTGTTACAAAAAGCATAATGTGTGTAACATATATGTTACGATAAGTATAAAATGTTCGCCTATTTCCAATGCTGCCACCATCGATGTCGAAACCACCACCAATATTACCACCGTCACATGTTTCCACCATTGCCACCAATATCAATCTACATCACCATCTCATCTCACAACCATTTTCAACATCATCACCATCACTATTACCACTTTCAATCACCACTAGATCTATACCATCACGACACACCATCAAATCTACACCAACACATGTGCCACTACACCCGTCAATTTCTAACAAATCATAATCCCTAATTTCACCATTAGCAACTCTAGAGTCATTAAGGAGATTTATCTGAGAAGAGATGCCGCCAAGCTCAACATCTCTAATCAATGCCACCAATCAACACTAAAATACTTAAATCTCAACATCCCCAGCTTCCATCTCTTCCATTGCTACTAGAATCCATAGTGGTAGCAAGTTACTGATATGAATGAGTTGGAGGTGTTAACTTCACAAATTTGATGGTGATTTTGGGTTGAGCATGTGGTGACGGAACTAATGATGATTCCTCGGAGTTCTTCTGTATTTGGATAATTCTTCACAGGTTTGTGTGTATGTCGATAATTCACCAGTGTCATAGTGTTGGTTTGGTGTTGGGTGTTCATGCGTATGCTCGATGAAATTTCGTGTATTAAAATATAGAAATCGTTATAAATTGTGTTTTAATAAATACAAGTGATGTTGATTTTCTTGTAATTGCAAAAATCATCTAATTAATGATCTGAATATTTGAAGACGAAGGGCCACGTGGCTTGAATTCTAATATTCTAGAATTTGTTGAAACTTTGATTTGTCGAGACTTGACTTATTCGAACTTAAATCTTGAGTCTTGGATTTCGACTTGAACTTGAATTTGATTTGATTTGAAGAAGACTTTGATATTCTTGGACTTGACGTGAACCTATTTGATTCGAAAAAGATTTTAATTTTCTTGGGGTTCAGTGAGTTTAGGTTTGACAGAATTTCTTCCCTTCTTCCGGCCTTGAAATTTCTTCAGCACTTCGTGGCGTTCTTTGCTTTCTTTCTTGCTTCAGCTTTCACCTCTTCCTCTTCTACCCCTATCTTATGGACCATTTGTCCTATTTATAGGGGGAATTCGTGTTAATTTTGGTAATTACTCAATTATATTTGATTAAAATGAATAATTGAGTAATTATGATTTTATTTATTTGTTTGTTTATTTTAAAATGTGATATGACTTTTAGGTTTTTATGGACTTTAGTAGTCTTAAAATTTAATTGGACTAATGATTTAAATCAACCAAATCCATTATTATTATTATTTTATGTCTACAAATGCCTCCCTCAAAATTTATTTATTTATTATGAAATAAATAAATTAATAAATCTTGATTTTAGATTTTATTTTTTTGATTTATTCGATTTTTTTTATTTTTTATTTGATTTGACCTCAAACATCCCATTAGTAAATTAATACAGGTTGAACGTTTGAGTGAATTTAATAAATTTCTTATTCTCCAAATTCAAGAATAAATTTTTTTTTGTCGGATTTTGATTATTTATTTGTTTGTTTTATACATCTCATAACAAATTTAATTTAAATAAGCTTCTTATGTTTCATGGTAAATTGAGTTTAAGTGAAGTCCGTTATTCACCTATTTATACAAAGGAATTATGAAACTTGGGAACAAGTCTATTAAATCTTGCAAGTAGAGGTAATGAATTATTTATTTATTTCTCTCTCATTCTCGTTTTTTTTTCTAATATTTTCTTTTCTTGATTTCGACCAACATATGGTAGAAACAAATATTTGTTTATTGGAATCAAAATCCAACAGGTAATCTTGGTTTCTACCAGAATTTTTTTTTTTAATACTTCTTGGTTTCAGTGTTTGACTTTTTATTTTTTTTTATTTTCTTTGTTTCCGCTACTTTTTGTGGCGGCGAAAACCAATAAACCAATTTACTAATTGGATGTGCAGAAATCAATGGTTATTGGTTTCTTGGTTTCTGCTTTTTTAGCAGAAACAGTTTTCGTTATTTTTTTTATTTATTTATTTTTTGCTCTAACATCAACTCTCACCTTCTTTCTCTTTTCTTTTCTTTTTTTGTTTGTTTGTTTTTTTTTTAACCCATTTCCAATTGTTAAAATTGGTTTTGTCGAAAATGGCAGAAACTACATTTTGAACAGTTTTATTATTATTATTATTATTATTATTGTTGTTGTTGTTGTTGTTGTTGTTGTTGTTGTTGTTAACTCTTGATTTGATTTATTATTTTTTTTTGAACCAATTGTTGAAATTGATTTCTGCCATTTTCGGCAGAAACCTCATTTTCAACATTTTTTTTAGTTATTGGTTTCTGAACCAATTTGGAATTGGAACTTTTCAACGTATTTCCTTTTACACATCTCTCTCTCTCTCTCTCTCTCTCTCTCTCTCTCTCTCTTTATTTTGATTGTCTCTCTTTCTTTCTTTTTTTATCCTTTTTTTGTTGATTATTGTTGTTATTATTATGTTTGTTTTTGTATTTTTATTTTAACAAGATTAGAATTACCATTTTTTCATTTTTCTTTTTTCAGGGATTCACTATTTTGGAGCAAATCAAGGATTTTGAGGTTCAAAATTTTCTTTCTGTAGAGCTTAAATTATTTTTTTTTACGTTACAATTATTCTATGAGTTCAGGAAATATATGTTTATGAACAAACTTAAAATTCCAAACATTCGTACACATTGAGGACTACGGACTGCCACTTTTAACCATTCAATGCACTTTTTGTTGGGGACCAAGGACTTGCTCCTTTGACCGTCCAAAGCGCTTTGTATTGAGGATCAAGGACATGTTCTTTCGACCATCCAAGGCACTTTGTGTCGATGACCAAGGACCTATTTCTTCGACCGTCCAAGGCACTTTGTATTAAAGACCAAGAACTGGTTCCTTCTATCATCCAAGATACTTTGTGTTAATGACCAAGAACGTGTTCCTTCGATCGTCGAAGGCACTTCATGTCTGGGACCAAGGACTGGCTCCTTCTTTCGTCCAAGACACTTTGTGTTAAGGACGAAGGACATGTTCTTTCGATCGTTCAAGCCACATTGTGTTGAGGACCAAGGACCTGTTTCGTCGACCGTCCAATGCACTTTGTGTTAAGGACCAAGGACTGGTTCCTTCTATCATCCAAGGAACTTTGTGTTAAGGACCAATGATTTGTTCTTTCGACCGTCCAGGGCACTTTATGTTGAGGACCAAGGATTTGTTCCTTCAACCGTTCAAGGTACTTCATGTTTGGGACCAAGGACTGGCTCCTTCTTTCGTCCAATATACAAAATCAAACGATCGGTAGAACTGAAGCCACTTCAAGCTATTTCGAGTCTTTCAAAAGGTAAAGTTGGAGCTTCTCACATTAACATCAGCCTTCCGAACACACCATCAGATGGTGGATTTTTAGACATGTCACCTAGGACACGAAATGCAAGTATGTTCACTGTTTTCGTTTGCTACACTTTCTTCTTTTTTTAAACCGTACTTCATTTTTTGTAGGTTTTCCAAGCATCCTTGAAGAACTAAATTTCTCCATGAATCCAAATTTTCTGCAAGATCAGACTGGCGAGAATGACGTGCAAATTGGTACACTTCAAGGAATAGATGGTATTCATGATTCTCATGACCCTCCTCGCAAATATCCGAGTACCATCAATGGAGGTACTTCGGTGATTATCATGGATAATTTTAATACTAAAGATGAAGTGAATTCAAGGACCGCGAGAGCTAACATTTCAGAGACCAATCAAGGAGTCCCTGTCATTCCATCTTCATTGGCTTTAGTTAGTATCTCGCCTTCACAGATAAATAATCATCGTACTACACCAATATATTCTTTCATGTCTGGTCCCTCCACCTGGAATTACCCAAGAGTTTCATTATCTGAAGGCTGCTGTGTAAGAAGTCATGACTAATTACCTTCAAAAGTGTTTTAAAGACGTCTTGAAGTATGGATTCTCCAACATTCGATATTGGTGGGATGAAAATAATTTAATTCTTCAAAATGTGATTACCAACTCATTCCATGCAGACCCAGTGCCTTTGATGAAGCGCATGGATGAGTTTCTGAAAGAAGTTGACTCTTACTTATCTAAAAGAAAGCAATACTTGGATTGTTTAACCGTCAAAGAAAAGGCTAAGCAATTGAAACTTTTGAACATTCAGCTGGAAGTAAAGGATTCCACGTGTTCTTCGTTGAAAGGCAAAATTAGTCAGCTAACTTTTGAGTTAGATAGACTCCGTGATGAGCTTCAAGCCCAGCGGGAACAAAAGAGTATAATTGGACCTAAGAAGTCGGCATTGGAAGAAGCACAAACAAAAGATGTCACTAGCATAGCCTCTATTGACCAGAAAAAGAAAACCCTTGAAGATAGTTTCGGCGAGTGATCAATAGCGAGTGATCCTGATGACGTCAAGAATTTCTAATCTTTTTTTAAGACTATATTGTATGAATTTTGACTTCCTATTTTTATTTGGATGAACTTTTCCTTTTCATGTTTCTTGTGGTTTTTTTTGTTTAATACAACAAATGGTAAACAAATTGAATGAATTTCTTGTACACTCCGTTAGTGAATGTACGAGTAACAAGAAATTGACCATCCCACTTAGACTGGAACTTACCCTCTGTTTTTCTTGTGATTATGATTGGCCTATGCACTTAAAGTACTAGATCTCCAACTTGAAATGAGGTCCCACCTTTTTGTTGAAGGACTTCGTCATTCGAGATTGATAACACTCCAAGTGCATTTGTGCTTTTAACATCTTCTCATCCTAAGCTTCTAGCTCTTCCAATCGAAGACGAGCATTTTCTTCAGTTGTCAAACCTTCTCGAATGGAAATTCGAAGTGACGGGATTTGACATTCCAGAAGAAGTACAGCTTTCACCCCAAATACTAAGGCGTAAGGAGTGGCTTGTGTTAGAGTCCGATAAGCCCATAAGACTTCGCCAATTTTTTCATGCCAATCCCTTTTTGATTTGGAGATAACCTTTTTTAGCATACTGCATAGCGTTTTGTTGAACGCCTCTGCTAATCCGTTACCTAACGCATTGTACATAGAAGAGTTGTACTGTTTGAACCCAAACTTTGCACATAAATTGTTTATGTGGCTATTGCAAAATGGCTTGACATTATCAGTTATGATATGCCGCGAGACACCATATCGATAAATGATTTGGATACGAATGAAATCTGCAACATTTTCTTTCTTTACTTCCTTCAATGGTACGGTTTCGGCCCACTTAGAGAAATAGTCGGTTCCGACGAGGATGTATGCACGCCCTGCTGAAAACTTTGGAGTTATAAGTCCAATTACATCAAGACCCCATGAGTCAAAAGGTCATGAAGCTATTGTTGGATGTAATGGTTCCAGAGGTTGATGGATGAAATTTACATGGACTTGGCAAGCTTCACATTTTCTTACATAATTCATGGAGTCTTGTACCATAGTTGGCAAGTAATACCCCATCATCTTTATTCAAAAATGGAGTTTGGGTCCAGACTGATGGGCACCACAAATTCCAGAGTGAGCTTCTTCCATGACCTGTGTTGCTTCATCATTACTTAGTCATTGAAGGAAAACTCCATCAAATGATTATCGATGAAGTGTTCCCTTATAAAAGATAAAGCGAAAGGCACGCCTCTTGATTTCAGTTTTTCGTCGTGGATTATCTGGTAGCTTTTGATGTTGAAGGAAATAGATTATCGACTGTCTCCAATCTTCTCTTTCCTCATCTTCGATTACTTCAACGCTATTATTTCTTCCAAATTACTGGGTAGCAACGATGGAAGCACCCATCTTTGACCAATTGATATGGAGTGAGAGAAGTCTCCATCTAACCTAGCTAAAAAAATGGCCAAATTAGCTAAGGCGTCAGCCTCTCTATTTTCACTGCTCATGATGAATTTGATTTTTACCGAATCAAATCGTCTCATAAGCATTGATGCATATTCATGATATAGCTTCAGGTTTGAATTACGAACTTCATACTCAGCTAAAACTTGGTTGATTATCAATTTTGAATCTCCAAAGACTTCCAGTTGGTGGATATCCATATCTAATGCTGCTTCTAAGCTAAGGATAAGGGCATGATATTTCGCCACGTTGTTTGAACATTTCTCTGTTAAGGCAAAAGAGTAGGGCATGACAAGATCATGTGGAGTGACAAAGACTATTCTTGTTCCTGCACCATAGCTTCGGGCTGCCCCGTCGAAGTATAACCTCCATGATGGTACGACTTCAGTAAATAGAACTTCTTCATCGAGAAAGTCTTCTTGAAGTTCGCCAGCAAGGAAATCTGTCAAAACTTGTCCTTTAATGACCTTTTGTGGAATGAATTTGATATCGAACTTAGGCAATAGTAGTGCCCATTTTCCAATCCTTCTAGAAAAAATTAGCCTAGACATTATGTATTTCAATGGATCAATCCTCGAAACAAGATTTATTGTGTGTGATAGCATATAATGTCTCAACTTTTTAGCTGCGAAGATTAAGGCGAGGCATATTTTTTCAATAGGTAAATACTTCAGTTCAGTGCCTACCAGTGTCTGGCTCAAGTAATAGAGTACATTCTCTTTTCATTCATCGTTGACTTGGACAAGAAGTACTCCTAGAGAATATTCTTGTGCTGCAACATAAAGAGTCAGTGGTTTCCCTAGGACTGGGGTTGTGAGTACCGGTGGACAAGACAAATATTGCTTAATGTTTTGGAAAGCATTTTGACAAGCGTCGTCCCATTCAAATGGTATATCTTTCTTCACCAATTTGTTGAATGGATGATAGCGTCCAACGAGATTAGAGATAAATCTTCGAATGTATGCAAGTTTTCCATGAAGACTTTCAGTTCACGTACATTTCGCAGTTTTGGCATGTTGATTATGGCGTCAATTTTTGATTGATCTATTTCAATGCCCCAATGTCAAACAACGAAGCCAAGAAATTTTCCAGAGATGACGCCAAATGCACATTTGAACAAATTTATCTTCAGTTGATGTCTTCGAAGTCTTTTGAAAATATCCCGTAAATCTTGTAAATGATCGTCATGTCTCCTTATTTTAACAACAAGATCATCCACATAGCATTCTACGTTCTTATGCAGCATGTCATCGAAAATCTTTTGCATTGTCCACTAGTAGGTTGCTCCCACATTTTTTAATCCAAAAGGCATAACTCTATAATAATATATGCTTTTATGGGTACGAAATGATGTGAGCTCCTCGTCTTTCGGGTTCATTCATATCTGGTTGTATCCAGAAAATTCGTTCATGAAAGATAAGACTCCATACCCGATAGTTGCATCCACCATCAACTCTGTTATCGAAAGTGGAAAATCATCTTTCGGATATGCTTTATTCAGATCTCGAAAGTCAATACAAATTCTTAATTACCTGTTCTTCTTTTTGACAGGGATAGTGTTCGCGATCCATGTTGGGTATTTCACTTCGTGTATGAATCCAACTTCAATAAGTTTGTTGACTTCCACTTCAATTTGAGGGATCAGTTTTGGTTGAAATCTTCTTTGAGATTGCTTGACTGGTCGAACTCCATGTCTTACTACAAGATGATGCACTGCAACCTTAAGGTCTAACCTTGGTATTTCCTTATAAGACAATGCAAACACATCTTTGTATTCCTGAAGCAAACTAATTACTTGGATTCCTCTTTTTGATTGACGAGGGTACTTACAAATACTGGTCTAGAGTTTTCTTTGCTCCCCAAGTTTAATTGTTTCAAGTCATCCACAGTAGCTTGTCCACTTTCTTCAAATGTAGGTGGGGCTTGTTTAGGTTCATCTATTGTGACAAAACTTTCGGATTCAGAGTCTGAGTCAGGAGCTTCTTCAAAGGCTATGTGATTGACAGAGACTTAGTCCTTATCTTCGTTACCCTGTAGAGACGGACGAACTTTTTGATGTCTTCATCTTCTTCTTAACCGTTGTGGTTTCGGACTTGGATTAGAAGTTTTAATTCCAAGTTGAGAAAATACAGATTGTCTTTGTGAAGACATTTGGGGAGCTTGTGCACTTCTATCAATTTGGGTAGAAGAAGAAGAATCTTCACTTAATATTTGGAAGACAAAGATTTTGCCTTTTACGTCGACCATTGGAGAGGAATCTCCTTTCAACCTTTTAAACACTGAAACTCTGGCATTCTCATTTTCAATTCAATGGAACATTGAAAGTCTTGACTGTTCTGATTTCTCTTCTGCACTTCATAAATTGAACTATGATGGGGTTTGAGGAAACTTTCTTGACCTTAATCTTCCTTAGTGGATTAGGATCATATCCCAAACCATACCTAGGTCGGGAGACTAAGGCTCCATCAGAATTAGAAGGGACACGCCCTCCTGAAATGACAGTATCAAGATCACCTAATTTACGAGACTCTCATTTTTCAAATCCAGCATTTTTGAACAACTTTTTAACTTGAGCATTGTAACATTCTTTGAAAGTCTGTTTTGATTTAGCGGCCCCTTCTTGTTTGGACAAGCTAGAAATACAAAGCTTTGATATGTTTGGGATAGATGTCGAAGCTTCCAATATAGATTTATGTTCTTTTGGGACCACCATGAGTTGATGGGGGCAGAAACAATCTTGGAATACTAAGTATTGGAAGAGTTAACTCTTTTCTCAACACCTCAACGTCGGTTGATTCTATTTGAGATTTTTTTCCTTTAGAGAATCCTTCGGATGTAAATTTGGCTGTCTTTGATCAGTTGATGATGAGTAACACCATAGGTATCATGATCATTTGCATCTTCTTTGATTTTGAATCCAGACATGGTCAACCCTGCAGAATTGCACTCTTCATCTTCCATGTAAAATTTGGCATAAGCAAAATGTGATTCTTCTTCAAGGAATGGTTTAGACTCAGCTACCACACATTTAACCTCCATCTCGGCTATATTTGAAGCATTGGTGTCAAGTGGAAGGTACCACACCAGTTTCATGTAGCCAAATACGTTCAAGGAGTAATTTGTATGATATTTTAGCATCAATGACATGGAAGAGAGTTGAGGAGATTAACTCTCCTATTTGCAGCTTCAAGCAAATCATGTCAATGGCTCGTTGACCTTTCTAATTGAATCCTTAAATCATGATTTTGCTTCTGGACAGATCACCAACATTAATTCCAACCTTTTTCATTGTTTTGATTGACATAATATTTACAACAGATCCACAATCGATCACTATGCGATTTATCTTGCATTCTCGAATATAACCACTGACATACGATGGTCTATTATGTGGATGAGAACCCAGTTGTAAATCTTCATCGTAGAATGTTATGGTAGCCATACAGTCTTGAGGAGTTGTGGATCCAATATGTTCTAGAACTTTGCCTTCATATTGTTCTAGATCGATTAACGCTACGACCAAAGCCTTTCGATCATCGAAAAGAAGACTAAGAGACTTTGCTAGACTAGTATTGACAGTAATATTATTGAGCCGTGAGATAGTTTTATTCTATTTTGATGTCTGTCAAGATGCATTTTTCATCTCATTTTTCTTTTCCACATTAATAACATTGGAGGTAAAACATTCATTATCAAAGAAACCCTTGGGAAAATAATCACCCAAGGTTGGCAGTCTGGGAGGAAAGCGTGAAGTAGCTTCTACCTCCATCGTTTTAATGAATCCTCTTGATTTGGCTTTAGACTTTCTTCTTTGGTTGTTCCTTGGTCTTAATATCTTGTCATGAATACTAGAACTTGGGAGTTGTGGAGCCTTTCGGCAATGTCTTTTCACAAGGTTCTATGCCCCCTGATCTTCTTCTAATATTTCCTTTTTATTGCGTTGAATTTTGGTACCCAATTGCTCCAACTCTATTCCTGCAAGAGGCGTAGAAGGTAATATTTTACCTATTTTGTTTGGTATTCGATATTTCTCATTCTTCTTTATAAAGGTGGACCAACCGTCATTGATCTCGTCTTCAGATTCTGAGTCAGAATCCCAAACATCCAAGTCACCTATCATAATTTCATAAAAAGTTGGACAATTGGGTGCATTTGGCCTACTCATCCCCGGATGGACGTAAATGATAGTGATTTCTCCGTCTACCTCAAACTTTACTAGGATGGATCCTTTCGGAAGTTGAGGTCCAAACTCCTCAACTGAGGATTTACAGGCATCGTGTTCATTAGAAAATGTTTGATTCTTCCCTGCAATGGGAATTGGATCAAATGATCCAAATGAAACCATCGAGCAGGCGACTGTTGGACTCTCCGGTTTCAAGTTTGATCTTATTTTCTTTATCCAAGCAAACAATAAGATCTTTCAAAACAAAGCAATTTTTCACTGGGTGGCTAATGATTCTGTGAAATTTACAGTATTTAGGATGATCGATCCTACCAGTTTCCTCGAGTCTTTTTAGTACTGGAGGTTCGATTATTTTCTGTTCAAGGAGTTGATTTAGAATTCCAGAAACTTCTGAATCTGAGAATAGGTACTCCTTTGCTTTAAGTTCGTTTAGAATCACATGACCCTTGCTTTGGACTTGTCCTTTGTTAGGTCTAAATTCTGGCTTCGGCTTTGGGTTCGAGCTTGACCCTTGGAAGGCTATCTTTGCAGGAACAGTAAAAATCGCCATAGCCTCTTTGGATTTACTTGCTTTGACATCCTTCTTTATTTCCTTCCTAGAATCTTTCTTGTCACATGTATCACTTGGCAAGTAACTCCCATGCCTTACAATTAGGAGCTCCAGATCATGAGCACGTGTTGCCAATTCTTCGAATGAGTGAGGCATAATTGCTTGGAGATTATAGAGTAATCCCCAATGCATGCCTTGTACACACATGTTGATGGAAGATGCTTCGCTTATTCATTCTTTGCAATTAAGCATGAGGTTCCTCCAGCGTTCAATGTACTCCATAACTGGTTTTTCCTTGCTCTGTTTTGATCAAGCAAGTTCTGGAAGACTAACAGTTCGTCTGGTGCTGTAGAAACGTGTTTGGAACTCTCGCTCGAGCTAATCCCAACTATCAATTGACCCTATCGGTAAGTCTATGTACCATTCAAATGCAGAACCTTTGAGGGAGCGTACGAACTGCTTTACCATAGTGTCATTGCAAGTACCTGCATTATTACACGTCTTAATAAAATGAGCAACATGTTGCTTTGGATTGCCCTTTCCATCAAAACACTTTAATTTCGGAGGTTACTAACCGAGTAGCATCTTTATTTTGTCGATTCGACGACTATAGGGCTTGGCATAAACCAGTGAAGATTCCAACGAACCACCATATTGGGCACGAATGGTGTCCGCAATCATATGTTGAAGTTGTTGGACAGATAAAGAGCCAACGGAGAGTTGAATGGTGTCACGCAACACATTTTGAACAACTGTTCAATCGTGCATATCTTGTTTTTGTTGGCGCTCTTGGACTTCTAACTCTTTGGCCTTGAAAGATCCTGAATTTTCCTGATCTTCTTTAGTCGGTGGATTTTATGAAGCTAGCCTGTGTATGAGTGCAGCAATTTGTGCATCTTTGTCTTCCAACAACTTTGTTAATTTTTCAATGGCTAAAGTCATTTGTTGGATTCTATCATCTGAGCCCGAAGCTGCTTCTGTGACCATCACTGGCTCAAGTGATTCTTCAGATGAGGCATCTTTTGCTGAGAAGTAGCATGAGGGGATCCAGACAAGGATCTACCACTAGAGATGCAGCCCGAACGAGAACTTTTCGCTAAACTCATGGTCTTTTCTGTCGAATGCGAGTTTGACTTCTTGAAGGCAATTTTCATTTTGCCTTTGTTGGAGAACTTTTTAGTGGTGTGACCAATTGAGTTTTCCCAATTTTTGTTTGGGCCCTGGTCGCGTTGAAGAGTTCGGCAAGTGTCTCTTCAAGATAAGTCATGGTTTGTTTCGCCTGCTATTGCTGATGTAGTAGTTGAAACTTAAAGATTTTGAGATCAAAAGATGAAAGAACAAGAAGGTCCCACTAGGCGTGCCAAGAAATTTGTACGAGGAAATTTCGTGTATTAAAATACAGAAATCGTTACAAATTGTATTTTGATAGATATCAGTGATGTTGACCTTATTGTAATTGCAAAAATCCTCTGATTAATGATCTGAATATTTGAAGACGAGCAGCCACATGACTTGAATCCTGCTCTTCAAGAATTTGTTGAAAATTTGATATGTCGATACTTGACTTGTTCGGACTTGAATCTTGAGGCTTGAGCTTGGACTTGAATTTTGAAGAAGACTTTGATCTTTTTGGATTTGGCATAAACTTGTTTGATTCGAACAAGATTTTAATCTTCTTGGGGTTCACTAAGTTTAGGTTTGAGAGAATTTCTTCCCTTCTTCCCGCTTAAATTTCTTCAGCACTTCATGACATTCTCTGCTTTCTTTCTTGCTTCAGCTTTCACCTCTTCTTCCTCTACCCCTATCTTATGGACCATTGTTCTTATTTATAGGAAAGAATTCGTGCTAATTTTGATAATTACTCAATTATATTTAATTAAAATGAATAATTGAGTAATTATGATTTTATTTGTTTGTTTGTTTATTTTAAAATGTGATATGGGCCTTTGGATTTTTATGGACTTTAATAGTCTTAAAATTTAACTGGGCTAATGATTTAAATTGACCAAATCCATTATTATTATTATTATTATTATTATTATTATTATTATTATTATTATTATTATTATATGTCTACAGTGTGTTCTGTAGGTTGATTTTTGTATAGTGTGTCTAGATGAATGTTTGTATTTCTGCATTTGTATTTGGCTTTAAAATAGTATTTCTTAAAAAAATAAAAAATAAAGTTTGACGAATAGTAAACTATGATAGCATATGAGGAAAAAGAAAAGAACAGAGCATGTGACATAATTTCTAGTATTGTGTTGTTCCTTTTTTATTTATTTATTTTTATTATTATTATTTTTAAAGTTTATATATGAAACTTTTCCCTAGGTGTTGGGCCGAGTAATCGGACATGACCTAAACCGCCCAATTCAATAAAAGGCCTATCCACTTTCTCCACCAATCAAATGTTTTTCGCTAAATAAATAAATTATTTTATTTTACCGATAATTCAGAATTATCCAAAACCTTTTCTTCAAATTGAACAGATTTTCCATCATCTTTTCCCGACGTTGATTTTCCCCTCTATCGAATATTCGCACCGCAGAAAATTCATAATTGAGCTCAAAGAAAAATGTCCATTTCAAGAATCATCACTCAATTTTAATCCTCTTTGATCAGCAGCAAATGGCTCTCTTAATGCCCTCGGGATTTTCTTCCCTTTCCTGCCACCGGCGTGAAATTCCTGCTGAAATTTATCCAAGAAACAGAAATTTTAGGGTGTGTGTTTGTTCGACTGTTAGGGATTTGGAAGAGGTTGCAACTGAGGTTTTGAAATCGAGGAGTAATTGCTATGATGAGTTGGGCTGGTTGTACGGAAAATTCTCTGCTCCGGTGAAGCCTACTGGTATGGCGTTATTTACTGCGAAAAATGTTGTGGATGAGGAAGAAAGGAAGCAGAATTATTACGTGAATACGGGCTATGCTATTCGGACCCTCCGAGAAGAGTTCCCTGAGCTTTTCTATAGAGAACTCAGTTTTGATATCTACAGGTTTGAAAGTCAAGCTTTTTCGTTCTCATCTTATTTTTAATTAATTTTCTGTAGAGATTATAAATTGCTCAAACAAATTAAGGATATTTGTATGTGATTTTTTGAGTGCGAGGTATACTTAGTCCCCCCTGTTATTTGAATGTCCCCCCCTTTTTATTTTTAATTTTTTTAATTTTAATGTACTCATTTTCAATGGCACGATCACACAATAAAATATTGTGCACATAAATCCAAAACCTTTCTCGACTTTTTAACAACACATCCTCCTAGAAATCACAATTCAACACGTTATTTTCCCAAATAATGACCATCACACACAGGCTTAATCTGTGTTGCTGCCTCCATTGTGAGACCAGGATGTTATTTTCTATTCTGTAACATAATTTAATTCTAGATTATCTCTAGATTGATAAGATGAATCCATGTGTTGATCTATGAACGTTTGTTAGAAGTAATATAATAACAAGAGGGCCAATGGATTCTACTGTCCCTTAGTTGCTTCATTTTTCTTATAGGTATTCATTTTATTGCTTTTGCTAAAGACTTTAGTATATATGAAACTAGCATATTGGAAGATTAATCGGCCAAAATAACCATGAGCGGCTTCGATATTATAAGTTTCTTCCTTTAGGAATGATAAAAATCTAATTTCGTTTTTTGTATGAGAGTTACTCAACCTATTAGGTTTGCGGAAACACAATAAAAGGTAAACTGTTTGACATTATTTAGTGCGTAAAGCTACTTATGCTAGTTCAAGCAAACTAATTCTAACCGATATAGGATCGAAATGAAAAAGAAGAATCTAAAAGGGAGAAACCAGTAGTTATTCAAATCTGATGACGGGGTGTGTTGGTGGACAATTTGGTTGTCGTGAAATCTTATTTCCTGTTGTTTATGTTTTGTGACAGTTAACAAAATAGTTGGAGGAAAGGAAATAATTAAGTTAACATGGGGCATGATTATCTATATACCACTGATCTCAACAAAACCTTATCCCATACTTATCATGGTCAGCTAATGCGATTTATTATATATATATATTGGATGTATGGTTATCTGTTTGTTAGGACAGTGATTAAATAGCTTGTATGGTTGATCTTCAATTTTATGCTATAAGGAGCATGTTTAGCTAAGCCTTAAAAAAAGAGTAACTTCTAAGCTTAACTAAACATGTGTCTAGGCTTGAGTTAATTTTAAGTAACTTTTTTTTTGCCAAACATGCATTTGAGCTCTATAAGAAGTACTTAGCCCCCGTTTGGTTTGGCTAAAAATCTGATTTTTAGTGTGTGTGTGTATATATATATATATATATTTAGTTTGATTAATTGTATGGTTGAAAAGTTGATAAAAGTTGTGGGTCTCATAAAATGTGTAGTTAGAAATGAGTTTGGGGGAAAATGAGTTTTAAAAAATCGTGGCCAAATAGGGGTTTAATTTTTGGACCGTGGAATTAGTTGAGGTGCGCATAAGCTGGTTCAGACACCCCTGGTCATTAAAAAAAAATAATAATAAAAAATAAAATTGGAGATTTAGTTTATAAGCTTACTTTGTAAAGGTACGTTTTTACCTTCCAAAAACGTACTTTTTCTTTTGTTAGGCTTCGCAAAAAGACACTCAAATTCAAGTATAAAATGTAAATCCAATTGCATAACTTTAGATTTTAGTTATAAACTTACTCCAACAAAGTACTTTTACTTCTTTTAGGCTTAGCCAAAGGTGCTTAAAGTCAAGTGAAAAATAGTAAGCCTAATTGCATAAATTGATGAAGACAACTCCAGCTTTATGATTTGTCTATAATTATCAATATGTATTTTTTTCCCCAGAAATTGGATTTTTGTACTAATCCTTGTTCATTCTGCTTTGCCTTAGGGATGATATTGTCTTCAAAGACCCCCTTAACTGTTTTGTTGGTATTGAGAATTACAAGTCAATCTTTTGGGCATTAAGATTTCATGGAAGGATATTTTTTAGGGCCATGTCAGTTGACATCATAAGTGTGTGGCAGCCTGTGGAGAACATGATAATGGTTCGTTGGAGTGTTCACGGCATCCTAAGAGTTCCATGGGAGAGCCGAGGCCGATTTGATGGCACCTCAGAATACAAGCTTGATAAGAATGGGAAAATCTATGAACACCGGGTTCACAACATTGCCCTAAATGGACCCCAAAAGTTTCAAGGATTATCTGTGGAGCAGTTGATTCAATCTATAGGCTGCCCTTCAACTCCAAAACCCACTTACTTTGAGTTCTCATCCTCTTCCACGAGGAACATTGTTCCATCACAGAACCTTTCAGGGATTAAGCATTACTTGGGTTCTCTTCTAATCAATTCTCTAAAACCCGAGGCTGAATGATGACGGACAATAAAGAGTTGGTTTGTAATTACGAAGTTTTGGTCAGTATAGCTATAATATAATGTCACTTTCACACCATATATCCTGATTGGAATACTGGGACCTGGTCTTCACAAACTTCTGAAGTCGAGATTGCTTGGTAATGTAAATTAATTAGTTCGAAGTTGAAAGCACTGGGAATTTTGAATTGTATCAAAAATGTATGGTGTTGATACGGAATTGGGCTTAAGAACTTGGCCATTTACTGTATGTATAAGGTAAATTTTCTGTATAGTAAATTAGTTGAGTACATCTACTTCCTACTGTCGTAGTAAAATTAATACATAGGATCTGAGCGTTGTGCCCCTGGGGGGACCATATGTTTGTGAACATGGCTTTTGTGCTCGCGCTGTTTTAAGCATTGGCATCAACCGTGTCAAGCTTTATAGGTTCTCTACGAAAATGTTGGCCTAGAGCCTATGGGCTCTCTGTGAATTTTTATTTTAATTTTAATTTTATTATTATTATTATTATTATTTTTTCTGTAAAGAAAAACGATGCAGCCTGCTAGATCCATGGCCCCAGTTGGCCACAAGACCCTATAGCCTGGCTGAACGCTTTTTAGCTGTAAGTCCTGATCAAGCCATCCATGTGCTGGGTGAATAGGTCGAGGCTGATCATTACGTTTTGACACCTCTTAAGTTAATCATTTGGTCTTTCCATGTAATTTCTTTTCTGTATAAATAATTCAATAATGATTGACAATTACTTCTACATTTTTCATACAAAATCGAGATTTGTCAGAGCTCAACTCTCCACATAATCTTGCCTGTGTTATTTTCAAGGACACTCATTTGGTTGCAACTATGGGAACAGGTTAAATAGCTAAACTTCAAGCAAAACCAGAAAGACAACAGCTAAAGGACATTATTATCTTCTAAAGCAACCAATTTTAGCTTAAAAATATTTTACTTTTTAAAATTACTTCCCCACTCAACAAATTTCCTTTAGTATAGTATTAGATCTGCTAAAACTGAGTGACTTTTCGTCCACGCATACCCAGCATAAGCCAAAATAGTAGCTATCTGATGAAGATGGTCACGGATGCCACAGTTTTGTTTAATGGAACTTTTATTTTTGACTCGAGTATTTGCAGAATCAACAAGTTTTTTAATTTGTCTTGTGTTTTTGTTGCTTCTTGCAGCATCACTACCATGCATCAGCAAGACGGTGTATTATCATAGTTTTAGCATAATCCTCTTTGCCCTATAAAAGGCACTAACCTGTAAAATGGTTCAGCACAAAACAAATATAATTACTGACTATTTCAATCCATAGTAGCCAATTCTTAAATGGCTCTTCGGAAATCGATTGCTCTAGCAATTGTTCCACTGGTAATGCTAATACTAGTGGTGGGATCTGAAGCTGGTGGAATTGCCATATACTGGGGACAGAATGGAAATGAAGGTACACTGTCTGATACCTGTGCCACAGGCAACTACAATTTTGTGATCCTCGCTTTTCTTGCGTCATTTGGTAATGGCCAGAAACCTAAGATCAATCTAGCCGGACACTGTGATCCATACAGTAACGCATGTGTTGGATTGAGTTCCGATATAAAATCCTGTCAAGCCAAAGGAATCAAAGTGATACTTTCGATTGGAGGAGGGGCCGGAGGGTATACCCTCGCCTCGTCTCAGGATGCCAAGGATTTAGCAACTTACCTGTGGAACAACTTCTTAGGGGGGAAATCCTCAGCTCGCCCACTTGGAAATGCTGTTTTGGATGGGATTGACTTCGATATTGAAGGTGGAACGTCACAACACTGGGATGAACTTGCCAGGTATCTTTCTAAGTACAGCACCCAAGGTAATAAGGTGTACTTAACCGCTGCTCCTCAATGCCCGTTTCCTGATGCTTGGGTCGGGGGTGCTTTGAAAACTGGCCTTTTTGACTATGTTTGGGTTCAGTTTTATAATAACCCTCCTTGTCAATACACTTCTGGAGATATTTCAAATCTAAAGAATGCATGGAAAGAATGGATTTCGTCTATTCCTGCAACTAAGATTTTCCTAGGACTACCTGCAGCCCCAGATGCCGCTGGAAGTGGCTTCATCCCGGTGGCTGATCTTACTTCGACCGTTCTTCCAGCTATTAAGGGTTCTACAAAATATGGTGGTGTTATGCTGTGGTCAAAATACTATGATGATCAAACTGGATACAGCTCTTCCATTAAAAGCCATGTCTAAAATATTTACTACTATTGACTGGGTTCTAAAACTTGTGTGTATTCTATTGTGCATAACATATTGTTCCCCTTTCCTGTTTTACTTGAAGTGAATTTGGTGTTTCACCATTTCGAGTGACTTAAGGCTGAATTTGGATCTTGAATTTAGCGTTGAAAACTCATTATATTATCGTGCTATTTTAGTTAAGAGCATCTACAATTCAGTTTGCTGAATAGCCTAGGTGGGGTGCCATATATACTGCCACTTCCCCCTGTTATCACTTAGGGCGACGCTTCCTTTGAAATTAACTCTTCTAATATTAGATTAATATAATATTAGTTAAGACATAATATTAATTAAAGGCTTTTCCCTTATTATATTAGTAAAGTTGCTTATCGATTTTTTATTTTATTATTATTATTATTTTTTTTTTGGCATGATATTTCTTGTGGTAAGGGGTTTTCTTTCACAATTAAGCGTCCCACGACTGTTATGGCTGAAATAGCGACTCTTATAACTAGAAAAAAGAATTCGGAAAAATGCTTGGCCCCGTCCCGTATGGAGAATGACCCCTTGTGGCACGGCTTAGTCAATTATTCTCAGCAAATGAAGAAGAGTGCCTGCCCGAGCTATCTTATAGTAAAGCTCTCGGTGCAGACCTGAGCTATTTTAAAGTTAAGCTCTCTAGGTTAGCTATAGGTAAAGTTCTCCCAGAGCTGGAGACCGAGAACCCAACGATTTTTATCAAAGAAAAGAGCGTGAGGGACTGACTATACGGCTGTAGACGCTGCCTAGCCCTCAGGTTGTGCCAGTGATGTGGTGACTAAGCTTAATCCCATCTTCCTACATATTCTCTTTTCCTTCTAGGCAGAGGGACTGCAGATAAAGCCGTGAAGGTGGGCCCTTGTTCTCCGGTTGGATTGTCTTTGTCTTTGTCTTTGGTGTAATGCATGTTCTACACAGCCAAGGAAGCATCAGTTTTTAATCTCATTATGGTCGTGGTCAAGCCTGAAATCTCGGCATTGATTGAAGGAAGTTGGCCATGGCTTGGGGAGAGAGATGCATTTTCTTGAAATCAGAATTAGTTTGGATCCTCCCACATGCTCAATCTTTTTTTAGCGGTTTCTGGGTGTTTATGATTTCAACTCAAAATCAGTCGAGTGATCCGCTTGAGAGATAGAGTTGAACGATGATGAGATGATGCATTTAAAAGGCTTCTCATTGGTTGTTACAGCTCTAGACAAATATGTGTGAGGTGAATTAAGTGCATGTTTGGTATGCAACGTTACATAGTACTTGAAAGTATAATACACAATAATTTAACTTTTTATTATTTAATATTGTCCAGTACTGTCTAATCTACCTTACTAAATGTCATTAGGGTATTGTTTTGAAAAGATTGTCTAGAATGAAATTATCATTAAGTTTCTTAAATTGCAACTCAATGATCTACTCAACAATTTGTTGGTATTACAAGCTACAAGTCATAAATGTGTGGCATCCTGTTGGCTGTTGAGAACATGATAACGCTTCGTTGGAGTGTTCATGGCATCCTAAGAGTTCCTAGAGAGAGTTGAGGTCAATGTGTGCCTCGGAACATGAGCTTGATAAGAATGGAAAAATCTACGAACGTCGAGTTCATAACATTGCTCTAAATACACCCTGAGAGTTTTTAGTACTATCAGTTGATTTAGGGATTACAGAACCTTTCAGGAATTAAGCATTACTTGGCTTCTGGTCTAATCAGTTTTTTTGCAACCAAGGGTTATATATATCACGTTCACACCGTATATCCTGATTGGAACTAGAACCTGGTTTTCACATAATTCTTAAGTCAATGTTGCTTGGCAATTAAACGATGTATATCCAGGGTAATCTCCACTGCTTACTCACGTGTAAAGTGTTGGATGTAGAACGATAGAGATTGGAGAAATATGAGATTTTACTAATGAAATTTGGGGGATTACAAATGAGTTGCTACAGCACACTCTTTCTCTCTATTTTTTGAGACGTTTTTTCTCACTTCTTCTACATACTTGACACTAGATGGATGCCTTCATATTTATAGAAAACATTGAGTAAACTATACCTAAGAATTTACTACAATCACAACTAGATAATAGCTGTTTTTCTTCATCATTTGCAGCTATTATGTCTTCAATTACAGCTGTGTTTGAACATGAGAAGTGTCAAATGGCTGCTCCATCATGTAATTTCCAGATTACAGCTTTTAGTGAACATCAGATTGCTGCCTATGTTCATTTCCAGCTTGCATAAGTTGAGTGTACAACTTGAATTGAAAACCTTATCCATTTGACCATTCAATGAATCAAGCATTTGAAGGATGAAGTGTTCAATTTGAATTTGAACTCTTTGAATCTTCCTTTGTTGTTGAAGTTTCCAATTTGGATTTGGATTAGTTGAAAATAGATTACAAATTATCCTTTTAACAAAAAGCCCCAGGAATTTTAATTTGTATCAAATCTGTATGGTGTTGATATTGAATTGGGCTCAAAATCTTGGACATTTACAGTACGTGTAAGGTAAATTTTCTTTTTAGAAAATTAACCGAGCACGCCTGCTTCCTACTATTATAGTAAAATTCGAGTAGTAGGATCAGTTGTGTCACAGGGTTAACTACATGTCTGTGTACATGGGTTTTGTACTCAGTTAGTTTAATCTCTGGCATCAGATCACTGACCTCACGTCTTAATTAACCTCTGGCTTAACCCTCTGAAGGATCTGGAGAAATTTTTATACAAGATACACATTTTGATTACTACTATGGGAATAGGTTTAATGGCTAAACTCTATGCAAATTTATTAAAGCAGAAGCTAAAGGACATAATATCTTCTAAAAGCAACCAATTTTAGCTGAAAATATTTCACATTCTCGAACTGCTTCTACCTTAAACAATTTCCTTTGATATAGTATTCGATCAGCTAAAATTGACTGATTGTTCATCCATGCATACCAAGCATAAGCCAAAACAGTAATCTGACGAAGATGAGCACGGATGTCATGAGTTTGTTTAATTGCTCTTTCGTCTTTCACTCCAGTATTTACAGAATCAACGAGGTTCTTTTTTTTTTTTTTTTTAATTTGTCTCTTGTTTTTGAAGCATTTTGTCCCTTGTTTTTGTTGCTTCACACTGCATCACTTTCAAGCATCAGCAAGATAGTGTATGAGCAGAATCCTCTTTGCCCCTGTAACAGGCACCTATGTAATGGTTCAGCACAAAACATATAAAATTATTGACAATTGCAATCTATAGCAGTCAAGTCTTAAATGGCACTTCAAAAATCGATTTCTCTAGCAATTGTTTCACTGGCATTGCTACTAGTGGTGGGTTCTGAAGCTGGAGGAATTGCCATATACTGGGGAGAGAATGGAAATGAAGGTACACTAGCTGATACCTGTGGCACAGGCAACTACATTAGTGATCCTCGCGTTTCTTGCTTCCTTCAGAAATGGCCAGAAACCGACGATCAGTCTAGCTGGACACTGAGATCCATCTAGTAACATTTGTGTCGGATTGAGTTCCGATATACAATCATGTCAAGCCAAAGGAATCAAAGTGATCCTTTCACTTGGAGGAGCGGTCGGAAGGTATACCCTCGCCTCATCTCAGAACGCAAGGGATTTATCAACTTACCTGTGGAAAAACTTCTTGGGAGGGAAATCCTCGTCTCGCACTCTTGGGAATGCTGTTTTAGATGGGACTGACTTCGATATTGAAGGTGGAACTTCACAACACTGGGACGAACTCGCGAGGTATCTTTCCAAGTACAGCACCCAAGGTAAGAAGGTGTACTTAACCGCTGCTCCTCAATGCCCGTTCCCTGATGCTTATGTTGGGGTTGCATTGACAACAGGTGTTTTCAACTATGTCTGGATTCAGTTTTTCAATAATACTCCTTGTCAGTATGCTGCTGGAAATATTTCCAATCTGAAAAATGCATGGAAACATTGGATTCTTCAATTCCTGCAACCAAGTTTTTCCTAGGACTACATGCAGCCCCAAACGCCGCTGGAAGTGGCTTCATCTCAGTGTCTGATCTTACTTCAACCGTTCTTCCAGCTATTAAGGGTTCTAAAAAGTATGGAGGTGATTTGCTAGGGTCCAAGTACTATGATGATCAAACTGTATAGCTCTTCCATGTCTAAAATCTGTACTACTATTGGCTGGATTCTGTATCTTGTGTGCATTTTATTATGAATAAATGATGATCCCTTTTCCTGTTTTATTTGAAGTGAAATTTCTGTTTCACCATTTCAAAGTGACTTATTTTTTAACTCGACTAATCCTGAAATTACACTCAAAACTCATTATAATTATGCTATTTCAGCTATGACTGTATATAATTCAGTTGCTGAGTAACCTAGATGTGGTGTCATACATATCGCATGGTGTTTATGATTCTGATACAAAATCTACAGAGTGACACACTCAAGAGATACGATGAGTGATGATGAGAGTGTATTTGCAAAGGTTGTCACTGGTTGTTACAGCTCTTTTACATTTGCATGTGTATATGAGCTAAATTAATTAAATGTATGTTTGGTATGTATTATTAGATCATTATAGAAAGTATAAATACACAATATTTTATCTTCTCTCTTGTTTAATTCTATCCAATATTGTCTATTTTAACTCAACAGATTTTTTTTTTATTTTTTTTTTTTAAGCTTTTCTATGAATAATACAGCTAAATCTGCAATAAAAAATTACCAGAAAAACAAAGCAAAGCAATAAAAGCGAAGAACAGAGGAACAATTTTTTGACTTGAACCTTCCAAGTCTAATTTTAGTTTTAAATTGGCTCATCTGGAAATGAACCTGCTGGTTTTGGCTGCGAACTAGTCAAAACCGGCTGATTCTAGGATGTTTTCTAAAGGGTTATGTTTTTTGATTTTTCACCTATATCCTCACCAATTTTTAGTTCGATTCACGATTTTCTAGTTGAAACAAAATAACATTGTTTATGCATGATAATCCATTAATTGTTGACTGTTAGACAAATTGACATCATCTGTATTTTTCCACTAGATACAAAATCATGGCAGAAAACCTCTTCCAAGATCTGGCCAATGTATTATTCAAGATACACACTTCATTGTTACTTTGGGAGTAGTTTAA